ACATATTTATAAGTGTACCATTCGTCCATGCTTTGAATATTGCTGCCGCATATGGTCTGATATACATTTAGAGATTCTTGATAACATCCAAAGAAGACTCTGCAATGTTATTGGTCCTGACCTGGCATCTAAGTTTCAGTCACTTTTTCCCACCACTATTTGTAATATAGTTTCCCTGTATCATTTTTTTCTATAAATATTTTCATGGTAATTGTTCTGATGAACTTTCCTTCTTTGGTACCTAGACTTTATGAATTTAATTTAATGCGTACTAGATTGGCAGCAAGGTCTCATCATTTTACAGTTGAAATGGCTAGATGTAACCATAAGTTCTATGCTAATTGTTTTTTCTTTTGACTTTAAAAAAAAGGAATACAACTCTTTTCTTTGATTGTTTTTTTAAATATTTGAAAGCTTCTTGCTTTCCAGAAATAAATCATATTTTATTTGTTTTCTGCATATATGGTATTGACTGATGGCAATATTTCTCAAAGTAAAATTGTAGAAACTTCTCAATTCATATTTAAACCAACAAATATTGGTCTGCTTATTGAGAAATACTATTTTTGCAATAACAATCAGACCCTAAGTCTTTAAAAATAACACGATTGAATATACCAAAACCAACAAGTATTTTCATCAAATCATTTAATAAACTAACAGCAGAAATAAAACCTTTATGAATATAAGAACTATGGTAAAAATTTTCTCTTTCTTGATTGTCTGTCATGTTCAATGTTATTTAAGCCCCTTTTGATATTCCACTAATGCCACTCTTGTCCAGAAATCTATCTAGGTGGCTATGTAAAAAATGAACTTTAATACTTATATTAGTGCCTGTGTCCTGTAGACTTTTCAACAGCTTTTCTACTAACTCCTTGTCATTTTTGGCCTGGCGATTGCCTAAGAAGTTTTTCACCACATCAACAAATGATGTCCAAGTGCGTAATTCCAAGTTATTCATCAAATTCATCATCCTTAATGAGTTTCCTGATATCAGGATCATCAAACACTCCTGCTTTGAGTTTTTCGGAAACGATTTACATATATATTCAAGACATTTACTTTCTTTGTCGAGAGATTCTACATACTGTTTCATTAATCTCAATTTGATATGCAAGGGTGAGAAGATGACTTTTTCTTTTGGAAATAGCGCTGCATTAATAAAGTTCTTTTCACTGACCTCAGGGTGGCCAATCTTTCTTTTTCCAGTGCTCCTCTTTTGCTCTACTTCCCCACATACATAAAAACCATGGGAATTTTGTGTAGCCACATTGTTGATCAAGCAGAAAATTTACCATTTTCAAATCGACGCATAACACCCATTTATGTCTGGTGTAGTCAATCTGTTCCATAACCTGTTTGATGGCATCATGTTTTGCTTTCGGTGTTTTTGAATGAACTGTAGGTATTGGCACATACATATTGGTATTATGGAGTAAAACACATCTCAAACTACGTTTTGAACTATCAATGAACAATCTCCAGTCATCATATTTGTGCATGCCTAGTCAGTCATTGCAATGAACAAGATCCGTGTTCTTATTAAAGAATGGTACAAATTTGGCATCCCTATTTCAAAAGAATGTTACCTTTGTACCTTTTGCTAAGAGGTGTTTTTTGTTGATCATAGAGGCCAAAAGTTCTGCTGATTCTTTGCTTAGATTTGTTTCAAACCAAGTCATTCAGCTGATTTTGGTTAAACAGCTGTGCCACAGTTTCAGGAACATAGTCAAGATTGTTTTTACTGTGTCTCTCATTTACATCAGTATCAGACTTGTCACTTTCAACAAGTTTCAACAAATTTTCATTAAAAACTGGGATTGGCAAATCATCTGAATGCAGCAATGGTCAAATAATGGAATGAAGACTGTGATAGTCAATAGATCTGTGTTTCTTTTGGCTCAGCCCCACAACACTGACTGGGCAGATTTAACATTCATCAGAGTGGATCATAGGAATAGCAAATCTCAGTGATTTTCAGGTACCTGAAGTCCACTGTTGCACATACTCCACACATATCTTGCAAACATTTTGAGGGTCCCATGATTTGTCCTGATCACCAAGTTTGAAAATAAACATGATATGCCTTCTTGTAAAAGTCAGATATTGGTTTCCTGTTGGTTTTGGTGTGAACTTGCCACATGTGTAGCTAAATAAGTTGGGATCATTTTTGCATCCTCTCGTTGAAGCCATATCATTTGATATCTATCTCTATGATAAAAAAAGAATATGAATTGGTTGAGCATTTACATTACACTTTGCATGTTCACATTTAGGTAATTTGATCTTTCCTAATGCCCTACAGAGAGACCCGTAAAACTGTCAATAACAAAAGATGAAAAGAGTTATTACACTGATTCTACTTCATATTGTAAATGCTGGTTGTGTTGAAGAGATTAATGTGGCTGCGTGTTGAAGAGCATTTAACATTTATACATTTTTGAATCAAGGAAAAACAATGGAAAACCAATTTTTGTTTCAACGATAAAATATATATTAAAATCAACAAATACAAAACAATTTTTGTAATGTGTAAAAAAAGTAGTTTCCCTTTATCTGTTAGCTTGAATAAGAATAAATGTAATTAAGGGAGTTTCTTGAATAGAATGTTCAAAGTTCTATGTTGAAATAGTATTCAGAAGAACATACATTTAATTCAGTTTGTGTTATTTGTATATAACTAACAGTGTTTGTGTAACTTGGCTTTTTTTCACAGAGAACTGATGGTGAAATGTAATTCAAGTTCTGTGTCTGTGTGTGTGTGCAGTTTTTAGAATGAATAATTTTGTAGATTTTATTGTGAGTTGCTGAATTCTACTGTCTATTTTTGAAATTTAAAACCTCACTTTTTATTACTACTGGTAGGCTCCGGGAACAAAGGCAGGAGATTTTTGAAAGAACACAAAAAATATCTGATTATAAAAAATTAACCAATTGGTGATTTTATAACAAAAGCATGTTTTGAATTAACGGTAGGAAAAAATTCAGTTTGGTGACTGCAAAAATTCAGTAAATTGTCCTGTGATAATTAGTATTTATTATTTAACCAATCACAGTTGAGAAAAATGTAGGTGTGGCAAATGTAGTAGTAGTCACTACAGTATCTTTGTCATAATTATTTTATAGTGGTTACTAACACTATTTATTTTCGAGGGAGCTAACATTGAATAGAACTCACAAAAATATTAGATCGAACACACAAATATATCCCACTAACAGCAGTTTAATAATTGTAAGGGAGATTTCACAAGACAACCATGATATGTACTAGTAACCATATGGCTATGAATCCCAAATTTCCTGAAATAGCTATGTGATTGGGATGTCTTTAGTTAGAGTTTCTTTCCAACTGTGAAAACAGAAGCTCTCAATGTGCTTGGTTTCCTTCATAGTGAAGGGATAAAATTGATAGGATAAATTTATGAATATCAAACAGAAGATTTTAGGGTTTTGTTTTTTTTATTTCACCTTGATTATCAGGTTTCAAAAATTTTGGTGATAAATTGAAAAATTCAGTATTTCTTATTTAAAAATTTATGACTCAAAAACACTTTTTTTCTTATAAAAATAGTTTATTTTTGGTAGCTGACATAAATTGCTCAGCCTACCTGAAAATTGATAGGTTTCTATTTTATTAACAATCAGTCAAATATTGTGATCAGTCAAGATTGGAAATTGATCTTTTTTCCAAAAATGAGCAATTTCAGTACAGCAAAAATGGTAGCTAACCATGAAAAAACTAAGGTCATTTTCAGAATCAGTGCCATCAAATTATCTAAAAAATGTGTTTTGTTTCTTGGCACCCAAAATTGTGCTGACCAGTGTAATTAGCGGAATAGTATAAAATGAAAATGTCTTCTGACTTACATTTTATCCAAGAAATCATTAATCATGTCAACGCCAGGCTAGATAAAGGGGGATTGGATAAATTTTAGTTATACTGAATTTATTTGATTCTGTTAAGTTAAATCAACATTCAATTCTTGCTAATTTTGTTTCTACCTCTTATAACAATCATTGCCACTATTATTATGATGCTTCTTGTTTTTTTCGGTAATATGTAGTTGCAGTATTTTTCATACTTTATCAGAGCTATTTTCTTCAACAACAATCTCGTTTTTCTCTCATCTTCTCAGCTGCAGCATTCCTGACTGAATATTTGTTCATATCTACAAAAATACACAGAAAAAGTCAGTCCTTCATCAGGATTGTATATAAATTCTGATATGGTATTTTTGGATAACATCTGGCTTAAGAGATGTTGAAGAATTCTTTGTTTTCTTCAGAATTATATCCAGCAACTCCTGTTGTTGTTTTTGTAGGTCTAGCAACTGTTGATTTTGTTGTTGCCGTTTCTTTTGTTGAATTTCTACTATTGAAGCAAAAATTTGCTCCATATTCACACAAATGTGTTTTTATTTCCTACACCCAAGAGAAAATAATTTTTTTTTCTTCTATACAAGAAAAAAATTTTTTTTTAAACCAATGTGGTTAAAGTTTTTGACATCAGCCAATGCAACAAGCATATTTTTTCATACTTGTCCACTCTACAGTTTTCCAAAATCCACATTACTGTTATAAGTCATAAGAGTTCCAAATCCTCATCACAATGGTTATAATTTGCCTGAATTACAAATCCCTTGTAGCCACTGTTATTACAACACTTCACAGCTATTATAAGTAATGTTTTGGCCATTCATTGTGACGCCTGTATTAATTAGTTTGAACAACAACTTCTTCTCTTACCTCTAACCTGGGCTTTTTATAATAGTTATGGACTACCTCATATAGTTATTATTTACTGCACAAAACCACCATTCACATGGATTTTTATTAGATTTTTGTTTTTTTTTTTATTTATTTCATCCATCTCTCTTCAGTGTAACCCTTCTTCATGATTTTCTCATCTGCTTTAATTCATTTTAATGCTGGAAGGGTGTTTTCATGTACAAACTGAGATCTCACATTGCAATGATATTTAAATTTACTTTTGCCAGGAGTGCTGAACACCATGCTGTTATGAGAAAAACTTTTATATTTCTTGTGTTCATGGTACTTATTTTGCCATCTTTAGGTCTTACCAGGTAAGTCATCCAAAATATTACTATTTCCCTTTAAGAAACTTCTTTAGAAAGAATTAAAAGATAAACTGAACATCTTTTAATGATTACATTTTTTATGTGTCAGAACAGAAATTCATCTTATTCAAAACATTCCACAATATAGATATATACTAAACTTCAGCCACTATATTCAGGTCATACATTAATGACTGATTTCAATAGCTTGCCAACCATTGCTCTATAGGAAGTGTCCAACATTCCAAATGTTAAGAGAGTTGTTGAGATCATGTAACAAATATAAAGAATGTGTGTTAATATTACACAAAGGAATTAGCTTTGATATATGATCAGTCAGTTATTTGCCTTTTGCAATAATACGAAAATTAAGAAAGACGTACAAAAGATGTTTTTATGTTGCTTTCTGGTATAAAGTGTACATGCAACTTCTCATTTAAATGAGAAGTTGCATGTTAAATGATTCATGGGAATTGGCTTTTGAATTTCTTGTGAACTTATAAAAACGTATGCTTTTGTAAAATATGACAGGGTCCCACTTAGCTTAGTGTTTTTGAGCTACAAATTTTTATTGCTTTCATGTCAAAATATTTAAATAGCTATCACAACTTTTTTCTCTTCAGTTCAATAAATTCTAATCATAATGCTGGCTTTAATTGTCTATCCTATCCTGTTCCGTTTTCCGTTGTGTATAATGAATCAAAATAATTTTGTTTGAGCATATTTATGATAGAAATGGTTATAAGTATTTGTTTTATCCCTTCTTTTCCAGTGCCAAAGCATTATTTGAATGGGCAATAAAGGATAAACAGCATCGTTATAGATGGCAGTAAGTGAGAAAACATTTATACATTATGGATTTTTAGATATAAAACAGACCAATTTATCAATATATGAATTGTAATTTTTGTGCATGTCTTGTTAAGTTGTACAAATTAGATGTGTGTATGTAATAAGCAGTCTTTAATAATGTGGATGACCTGATCTCTATCAAGATACTGATCAATTAATGTTACCTTTGTTCTTTTTATCTTTCAAAATTTTTCTCTCCTTCACAAAATCTTTTTTTAATATAGTATTAATCAAATATTTATTGGCTGTTTCACATTTTGGAGTTACCTTTTATGAGGACTTCCATTATTTGGTTGTCTTCCCATGTGTAATGTGTTAAAGAATATTCACAACCAATCAAGATAGACTTAAGATTAACAGTTTTTCTACATATGCATTGTGTTTTGACTTCCACACAGAAAATTTATTCATTTTGGGTCTCTCTTATTGAAGGTACACCATTTCAGCAATCTTTCATTGGTATTTTCACACTTGATCCATTTTTACCCTCATCCAACAGCTATAGCAAATATCTTTCTCTTTAAAATAGCTTCTCTCACTATCTCTTCTATTTTGTTAGGGCGGGGTGAGAGTAACCCTAGTATTGTGTATATAAACTGGTTCTTGCATTGCCAAGTGCATTTTGACATATTAAACAAATGTGCTTTGTTTATCTTACATGTTTCAACAAGTGATAAACTTGTGAAGGAATTAGGCACTTTTTTTTCAAATATCTAAATACTCAATTGTTTTAAATTTTGTAAGTGATATCTTGTATAGTTCTAATTTAGGGGATTAATTGCCAGTGAAAAGCATTTTTTGTTTCATTATCTCTGGTGGAAGGATATGATGATAGGCAGGGAATGTCAGCATCCAAAATTTTTAACATATTTTTTTATACACTGCCAGGTCTTATTTCTGCAATGATAAAGAACTCTGACCATTCTCTTTATCAAATGTAATAGAACTATTTCCAACTTTTCTCAAATGAAGAAGCTCTGGAAGTGATTTGCATGCAAAGTTTTTTTTTAATTTCTGAATTTAAAGTCATTGTTATGTTGTCTATAAAGAGCCTTTACCACATGCACAATTTTATCTTTTTTCATCTACATTATGTTCCACCACATTGCAATAATTTCATTATAAACACAAAATAATTAAATAAACCATAAAGCATAGTTTATTTTCATGGCTACCATCAACTGTCTTGAACTGCAGAAAAATAAATAATAAAGCCATTTCTTTCATGAGAATGCAGTAGCAACATTACATTATATATTAAGCAAGTAATTTGTGTCATTTTTTTTGTGGTTTTAATACTTAACACAAATTTTACACTGAGAAAAAAATTGTGCACACCACTTCATCATTTATCTGGTTGAATTACAATGTTTATTTTATATTAGGTTTTCACTCATGATAGAAAAATACCTCAGTTAATTTGCATAATCTCATTGTCCTGATACAATCAGCTTGATGCTCTCCTCCCTCACAACACACACATACATGTTTAGTGAGAGCAATCTGCTGCCAAAACACTGAATTTTAATCTCATGTCTGCTTCCCAGATTTAATGGGAGTTTCACACCATTAGAAGTTTTTTGTTTTGTTTTTTATACTATTGTTCACCCAATACATTACCCACTCAATGTAGGGTAAGGGCATAAAGTGAGAAAGTAAGAAATGCATATTATCAGAATATGTTGGATGGATAATGGTTTAACCTAGACTTGAAAATGTTAAGTTTGCAGTAATTGGAGAAGCATCCTCTTGGGTGTTTGTTCTACTAACTAACAATTCTAGAGAAGAAGCTGTTTGAATGGAACTTCCTCCTTACTAATGGGATACAAAGGGAATGTGGATGAATCAACTCTATGCACATGATATGGCAAGTCCTAGCAGTGAAGGTCTGACTTGGTGGAAGCTTGTAGCGCATCTAAACATATGCCATGAAAATAATGATAGAGTAGTAAGACACTAGCATCACTTTGTCTGTGAAAAAGGGATTGTAGGGTGGAAAATAATTCATCACTCACAAGGCTACATAAAAGCTTTTGAACTCTGTCAAAGCTGGAAAATGAGGATTAGGATATGGCAGCAATACTCTATTTTTTGTCTGATCTGACACTTAGGCATTAGAATATAAAGAATGGCAGGTGGAGTCATGTACTTTTTGGAACAGTACAAAGAACTATTTTACAACCATTTTTAATGATGATTCATATTTACAAGTTTCACTTGAGGTCTGGAATGAGCTTAAATCCTACTAGACATTTTGCCAAAAGGCATTTGTTTTCAAATATAACTTCAATTTTTAGATGCTTAAGTTCTTGGATTTCATTTACTTTTGTATTTGTTCTATTGCCTTGGGTTATCTTTCCTTTTTCAAATTTACCTCTTTAAACATATTGACAGCTTTCAGAATAGAGGAAAAGTGTTTATTCTGGCTGTCAAGGGTGTGCAGGTTTAAAAATCAACTCATGGCTGCACTTCATTCTTTTCTTGGAATGGGAGGTCATCATAAAGTGTAGAATGCTTTAAATGTAATTTATGAAATGTCTTTGACTTCTTAATATAGAGAATTAGAAGTTTTTAATGCTAACAAACGGGTTAATTGCATATATTAGTAAGACACATGTCACTGAAAGTGTTGTCCATCACTAGCCACTACTTTTTCCTGTCTTTCTGGCAGCATTTGAATTCCACATTGGAAAAAAATGACACATCTTTTGAGGTTAACCATGAGTCAACCCATTTTTTGGCATCTTCATAAGAATGAAAGTGCTGCTCAGCCAGGCCATGTGTCATCGATCAGAACAGTTGATAATTGGACAGAACAATGTCTGATGAATAAGGTGAATCGGGTAGGACTTCCTATTTAAGCATTTCCAAGTAGGTTTTCACCTGTTTTGCAACATGTGGCCTAGCGTTGTTATATTGCAAAATCACTTTGTTGTGTCTCTGCTTGTATAGTGGCCATATTTTCTTCAATACACAGCTAAAACACATCAATTGTAGTTGGTAGTGATCTCTCATGATAGTTTTGGTCAGTTTGAGCTGCTCATAATAAACTACATCTGATCCCACCAAATGCTGAGCAGAAGCTTCAAACCATGGATATTTGGCTTTGTTGCCAATGTTGAGGCATGGCTGGGCTTACCCCACGATCTTCTATGCTTAGGGTTATTGTAGTGTATCCTCTTTTCATTGCCAGTCATGATACAATGCAAATATCTTTCCTTTTCTGCTGTTGAAGCAGCTGTTCACATATGACAAGACGCCATTTGACATCTCTCGGCTTCAACTTGTACGGCACAAAATGTCCTTACTTTTGATTCATTCCTAATGCTTTCAAACATTTCAAAACTGTTGTGTGATCAAAACCTAATGATTCTGCAAGTTCAGATTGTGCCTGGCATGAGTCTTCATGAAGTAACGCCTCCAATTCTTTGTCTTCAAATTTTTTCGGTACACCAGAGCATTCTTTATCTTCAACATCAAAATCATTATTTCTGAAGTGTCTAAACCAGGGGTCGGCAACTTGTTCAACCCCGCGGGCTGGATCGTGTTATAATGGCGGGTTGCAGGCCGGACGAAGGCTATTAATGAAAAATTAAGGAAAATTACATATGCAGACCCCTGTCAACCTAAATATTTAAAACCATAATAAAAATAAACATTGAGAAATCAGAAAAACAAAAGAAAATCTAAAATTAAAAAACACCTAACAAAAATTACTTTTCTCAAGGAACAACAAAATACTTCAAAGTGAAAAAAAAAATCAATAAAAGTGAAATGGATGAAATTATGACGTGTAGGTTTGAAACTGTTATTGAAAATTGTTCCACAAATGAACCACACACACACACACACACAAAAAAAAAATGAAGCACATATACCCATACATACAGTACAAATATTTACAAACATATACACTTACGTACGTACGTACACATGCGGTATCATCCACACATTCATGAGTCATGTATGTATAATGCGTGTATGTTTAACTGTCTTTAGATTTCTACTACCTCGCATGTCAGTCCCTCCCTGGCCTCTTCCACTTTATCATTCCTTTCGCTTCTGTTATCTTTTAATGTAGCCAAGGGTCATAACAAATATGTATCCATTATTTGACATTAAACATAGGCCACGCAACTTGGTAAAATAAGACTCATGAAAGATAACTGGCAGATAGTCTAATATTTTTAGTGCACTGAGATGTGTAGACATTCTATGGAAAATGACATATAACAAATTTCATTTGAAGGTCGTCTCTCATGTTAAAAATAGAGTCATTGATAATCAGGCTCGCGGGCCAGTCAAAATCCCTTCACGTGCCGGATCCTGCCCGTGGGCCATAGGTTGCTGACCCTTGGTCTAAACCAATCTCTGCATGTTGTTTCCAACAGAACATGGTCGCTGTAAGTCTCAACAAGCATTCTATGTGCTTCAGCTGCAGATTTCTTTTGAATAATGTAGTTCAGTAAAATTCCCCACAAGTACACTTTCTTTGGCATGAAATCCAACATGAAAAATGAAGTCATTTACACATTGGCAAAATGACATACACTGAATTTCAAGCTTTCTTATAGTACTTCCTTATGGATGCATTACCATCTGAAACTACATGCATGCAGTTCTGGGAAAACAGTAAGAACTTATTCAAGGTCCTAATATATGAAAAATATTTTTTGAATTCTTTTAGGTGCATTTTTGTAGCTGGGAATGGTGCTTTCTTTGTGAATTATGTGATAACCTCTGCATTTATTGGCACTGGATTGGAACTGATGCGTTTCTCTGAGTTGTTCAATTATTGCATACGTATAATGTGTGCTCGATCCTCAGCAGAAAGGACTGCTGTACGTAAGGTATGCACTATTTTTATGTTTTCCTTCCTTTCCAGTATTACAAGATGATTAATTCCTACTCTTAAAATTTAATGAATTTTCTAAATTCTAAAGCTATTTTAATCAGTGAGAAATGTTTCTATGGTATTCCTTTAATAATATTTGTTATTTCAACATCTGTGCCTATCTTTATCTTGGCCTAGAATATATTGTTGTACCTTTTCAACAATACTAATGTGTAAATTGTCTATTGTGATTGCTTTGTGGCCACTGTCTTAACATTGATCCACTGACTTTAAACAAAGGTGACAGCTAACAGCAATTAAATAAGAATATTTATACAATATTGATTAATATTTTGTTTGATTATTGATTGATTTGAGTTATTACTTTATCACTCTTTCCTATTGTAATTTTTAAATGTGTACTAAAACTTGAATTTGTTAAAAAGATTTCTTTCAAATTTTGAAAAACATTGAGTCATTTTTCTTCTTTTTTAATTTATTTCATTTTTTTCTCACTTAGAGATAAGATGGTTGCATCAAAATTTCCAATAAACTACTTTTTATTTGAATATCTATTTTTATTTTTTGTTAATATTTTATCTTAAACTTTCCTTTCAATTTTCTTTTTTACAGGCTGTGATCTGGGAATTCCAGTTTGGTTGTCAGTATGCATGGATGCTGTGTATCTTTTCTGTGATAGTCACTTATAGCATCCCATGCCCCATGGTTACACCATTTGGTAAGGATCCTTTCAAAAACAGGAATTTAATTGTTAATAGAAATAAACAAAGATTTAAAAAATGATCTAATAATTTATAACTTAAGATTTTAAAAACATTTTTTAAATGTCATGTCCCTTCCAGACATAAGCATTCCACAGATTTCTATTTCTTTTTATTATCTGTGAATTGCCAGGAAAAGTTATGGGAGTGGTTTCCTGTTACCTTCTCCACAGTTTAGAATTCAGAGTTTTCCTTTTCTTAGACTGGTTGCTATTCAAGGCTAGAGTACAGTCTACCCTCCTATTTAACTCATAATTGGTGGGAGATGAGAAATGGATTCATGCCTTTTCCAAGGGCATTTGTGCAAAAAGTCAGTGCAGCAGGTCAGGCTGAAATTTGAATTTATCTTGCCAATCTCACTTTCTTCACCAATAACTGCTATGTTGCCTGCACATCTTAAAAATATTTTTACCTCTTATAACAAGAAATTATTGAATATATATTGAACCAGGTGCAATAAATAAATTGTCGTCTAAATTATGCAAAAATGAAAATAACACTGACATCTCATTTTAACAGATATATTTACCAAAATTACACAAAAATATCTTAAAATACTAAAGAGTAAATTTATTCAGTACATTTGGCATTGGCTTCAACCACCGCCTCCAGACAACTTTGGGAAACTCCTGCATCTCTTCTGGATGGTCTCCTTGTTTAAGTTGGTGAATGCTGACATAATCCTTGCCTTCAATTCATCTTTGGTGTTACAAGGAGTTTTGTTGGTCTCTTGCTCAACTGCACCCCACACAATAATCAAGGGGGATGCAGTCTGGGGTGTTAGGTGGCCAGATATAAGGGGTGATGTGGCTGCAGAAATTGTTTGACAGTCATGACTGAGTTCTCCTGCTTGACATGGTGCAGAGTCCTGTTGCCAGACATAGTCTACCCTGTTAACCAAGGGCAGCACTACCACCTCAAACACTTGATGCAGGTCTCTGTGTTGAGTTTGAGGTCCTCACCAACAAATCCTCAGATTGACACCCAAACACTCTGAAATGTTCATAGTGGAGCTTCCACAAATGCCAGGCAGTACAACATGCCATTTCCAAATTTCTGGCAGAGTGAATTGCATCATGGAGCTCTTTTTCTCACAGATGGTGCCCTACTGATCTAACTATACTGTGCACTTGATGAAATCAAAAACAAACAACACACATGCGCAAAATTAAAAATATAAAATACTAGCAGTAGAGCCCGGCATTGCCCGGGGATGTAACAGTAAGAGATAGATCAAGTATCGACCATCATCAAGACTGAAAAATAAAATTGACAAAGATTATTGTTTAAGGTTGGTGGACACGCATGTCTTAATTAGTTTTTTTTTTTTTTTTTTTTTACAAATTGGTCAAACCCAAACTCAAACAAAAACATTGTTTTCAATCATTATGAGTCTACTGATTGAATAGAATTTTATTATAAACAATTGTCTTGTAAATGGAATTTTTAAAGCATTCTGAATGTAAAAATAAAGAAAAAAGTGTGCAAGACAATAAAAAACACTACCTGCCAAAAAAAAAGTGAAGTTTTGTTGAAATTGGTTGAAAAATGTAGGAAATCCGATTCCATATATAAATGAACACACACACATACACACACAAACACACAAACAACCAACCTGGGTTTTATAAGTATAACTCGATATGAGTTGTCCCCCTAAACGAACAGACACACACACACACAACCTGAGTTTTATAATAAGTATGATTGACAATTTACCCATCGCACTCAGCATATACAAACTTACTTTACCTAAGTATAAGTTTATACAACAATTTATAGTATGAATAAAATATTTTTTAAGTCTCTTGACTGTTTCATTCTTCTATAATATTTATTTCTCAGATAAAAGCAAGTTTGCAAGTTACTTTTCATTTTTATTGCAATTTAGCATTCATTTATTTCTAAGTATGAGGAAATTATGCTTGTTGTAGTTCAACAATGCATGTAGTTACTAGGTCAGGGGTTGTGTGTTGAACAAAAAGTAAAAATGTCGAGTTGGTTGAGAAAATAGACAAACAATAGAGTGAAACAACAAAATAGAAATATTTATTCTAATGAGAACATTTTTTGCTGTAGTGAAAATTTCAGGGAATGTTCTTAAGAATTACTATAAAGAATGAAGGAAAAGTTGAACTTACTCTGCAGGTGAGAGTGAGTGAGGTGTACTGTCTATGCCATGTGCATCTATTGCACGGAGTGCTAATTTTAGTATCTGATCATGACCTTGGCCCGATATGAAAGAGAACTAATCTCTTCAAGTTCACAGCACGCATGCTCCCTATTTTTTTTTAATGCATGCTCAGAAACTGAAAAATGTTACTGTTAAGGTTTTTCATGCATTTTTTTCCTGGCAAAAAGATTTAATGCCTTCTACAATGGAGATGAATAAATTCATCCAAACTTTCAAGTGCATTTGAAGAATTTACTTTCTACCTAGAAAATTGAAGAGGTTTGTGCATTTGTTCTCATGCTTCAGAGATGCTTGGATTAATTTCAGTTTTATAAAATTTGATCCATACAATTGATTAACTTATTTTAAGTTTCTAAAGAAAGAAGTTACATTGCGTCAAAAATTTTAGAGTTGTGAAATAACATATATATTGCATTTTTAATTGTCATTTTTAATTTCCAGTTTGCATTTGTTCATTAAAAAAGTTGCAGATAAGTAATATAAAGAAATATTTTTAATGCATTTCCTGCATGATTAATATCATCTACATTGATTTCTAAAATTTTTATTACAGGTCTGATTTACCTAACTATGAAGCACATGGTGGATAGATACAACATATACTTTGCATATAAACCTTCACGTATCAGCAAACAGATTCACACTACAGCTGTGAATTTTGTCATTGTTTCTGTAATCTTTTTACAAATCAGTATTGTCTTCTTTACTGCTTTGCGTGTTGGTAAGTAACAGATTTGCATTACTTTGGAAATACTTTCTCAATGGTTTAGTAAATTATTTCATTAGAATATTAATCTTGTAGAACTTCAATTCAAACTAATCAAGCTGTCACCATCTGACCTTTTCTAATTAAAAACTATTCACCATTGTTGGCAATAAATCATATAACAGAATTTTCTTTAAAGACATCTATCTAAAGATGCTAAGATTAAATTTTCTGTTTTCATTCATTTGCTTTAAGTATTTTTTATCAGTATTGCAGTTTCACAAATAAAGATTTGTGATGAGTTTCCAAATCTATTTCAGGGTCTCAGGTGCCTATGTGGAGAAGCATGTTTTTCCATATTGACCACATTCAAGTGTTTGACAGTTGGTCAGGTTCCTGCTTCTTCCACTCTTTTTCTGTTCTTTCAATGAGGATGGTTGCCTAATGCATCTTCTGACTCTGTCACCGTTAACTAGCTTTGTTTCCCACTGATAGTGGTTGAGACCACATATGAAAGATAAAAAGTTCTTTCTTATATTTTTATCTCTTCAGTGGGGTCCCAGAACTCTGTCAACCAGAGATTAGTTCTCTGAACAAAACCATCTTCAGAATACAATAGTCATCTGTTCATACCATGAGTTGTTTGTAGTATAGCTTTAGTATTTGTGGTCTTGACTGATGAGAAAATCAATGGCAACATATGTTAAGAATGGTCTACACTGGCAAGAGTGCTTGACTAGGCAGAACTTGTATACAACCCAGAATTTTTCACTCTAAAGAAAGGTAGGCAGCACAATAACTATATTCTCTGGATTTTGTGTCTTTTATGATGTTTTTCTTATTCCTGATATATTTTGTGTAGACAGGCGAGAATTTTGATAACACATCATATTTTCTACTTTTCTGTTTTAATTCCTTAATTTAGTTGAAGAGTTGCTAGTTCAGAGATATCAATAATACGTCTTTAAATTTTAATTTCTACCTTAAAACTAAATGTCCCATAATTCTTTTAGTGAATAACCCACACACTTTCTGATGATGGGCATTTCAGAAATTGTCCAATTCTTCTGCATTTTATTCCAACTCTATAACTTGGTCCACATGAATCTAGGTTAACTTTACTACACACAAATCACCAGAAACTCCTCAGAAAGCTACAGAAATGTTTTTGTGTCTACTATACTTATTTATGTTTTTGACATCAAAAACCTAAGTCTGCCTAAAGAAAGTGAACATGTCTTTTCACTATAAATTGAAAAATACATCATTAAAGATGTGTCAGTGTATGTCTTCAGTGATCTACTCTGGTGCCATTGTAATTTTCAGGTTTACACATTGTACTCACTCCACTTCTGACCTGCTTCTGAAAATAACAGAACCTTACTTTGATCATGACATTACAGACATTATCCTAAAACATGCTCAATGCAACAATTAATTTCAATAGTTATAAGTGTTTACTTATAAATTTAATATACTGAAAATAGATTTAAAATAGAAAATTAAATAAAAATTATCACCAAATCACAATAAAATGTTTATTGTCATAACTCCTTTATAAACTTATAGAAAGATTTTTTCTTTTTATTAAACAGTCATGGAAATTTATATATATCTGTATTTTTTTTATACTTCCAGATTCACTACAACCAACATTTTTATTCTCCACTGTAGCATTAGCTTTTACTCTCATTATATTTTGTGGTCGTATCAGCTTTGGTTGGTTCAAAAGATTTACTCCAAACTATAAGGTAAGTTTCATCATGTATTAAAAGGCCTCATGATGATATTATACATATCAAACTATTCTCCTCTTTGTTGTACAATAGCCTGGTTCTAATTGCCCAACTGTAATATATCATTATCATCAAGAAACTGTAATTGGAAGTGAATGGATAGATTTGCCAATATTTTTTTATATTGAAGGGCCGTTTTTGAAAGAATCAACAAAACAATTTTAGAAAATTGAATGTGTTAAATATTTTGAAATTGGTTAAAACAAAATGTAGAATAAGAACATTCTAAAGAAATGCCATTTCTATTTTGTTTTATATTTGAATGTGAGAAAAAAAGACCTTACAAATCCTAAATAAATAAAGAAAAAAGAGATCAACTTGAAGTTCTGGTAATTTGATTTATTCCAGATATCCCATCAAGAAAACAGCTGCCTAGTAAAGTATAATTAGATCATCAGGGGAAAATAGTACCTTGAAGTAGTTAACTGATAGTTTCTAATTTACTAAGTCAAATTTCAAATATTGTGATAGGTAATTAACTCAGCCCAAATAAGAAAAAAAAAGGATTTTTTAAAAAACAAAATTCCTACAAGAACATGTATTTTACAATACAGTCATTTAATGGTGAAATTTGTGGTTCCTTGAACTAATTGATTTTTTTTTTTACTCAACAGCTAAAAGGAATTTCTTCACCTTCAGTTTTCTCACAAACTGATCAAAGAATAAACATATTCTTTCATAATTTTAAAAAAATGGTGTAGTCAATGTTGTTATGTAAACACTGACTATAGATTTTTTTAAAAATGATGAAAAAAAGTACTAACATATCAGTTCAAGGAACCACAAGTTTCACCATTAAATAACTGTATTAGAAAATGCATGTTCTTTTGGCTAATGGTACTTTTCTAAGCAGCTGTCTTCTTGCTGGAATGTCAGGAATAAATCAAATTACCAGAACTTCAAGTTGATTTCTTTCTTTCTTTTTTTATTTAAGATTTGTAAGGTCTTTTTTCTTGTATGCAAATATAAAACAGCATACAAAATAAAAATTATATTTCTTCAAAATGTTCTTATTCTACGTTTTCTTTTAACCAATGTAATATCAGTCCTTCTATATAGCAGTGAATTCTAGACCTTCTCTGCACAGATGAAGAAGAAACTCAAGGCAATAGAAATGTGCTGAGAATACCATGGACTGAACCAGTTATCAACAACAAAGTTTTAAAGAAAATGGAAACAAAAAACACTTATACTTAACATCAGAAAGAGACAGTTAAAATTTCTAGAGTACATAATGAGGTAAGAGGGCTTGGAAAATTTGACACTCACAGAACATACTGAAGGCGATAGGGATAGAGGAAATCAGCATATAATCTACCTAATGAATTCGGATGGCAGAACAGGGTTTAGGAGAGAGAATAAAAAAGAGCCAAATAAAAAGAATAGGAAATTGTGGAGAGCCATGATCGCCAATGTCCTGAAGGGACAAGGCATATAGAAGAAGTCAGTGTTTGTGTCTTTATATGTTGCTTTTATTCTGATGTACAGTTTTGTTTTTAAAACACACTGTACTCCTGTGTTCAGTTCATTATCTCCCCTTGTACAAGTATTTTCAATGCTATGCATTCAATAACCAATATTTTTTCTAAAGAAAATTATCCTTATTTTACTTGGATGTTTGAAACAATATTGTGATGGTAGTCTTTAAAAAAATCTCATATCATCAAAATTATTAAATTTTGAAACAAACATCTTTGATTCTTCTCTTATTGACATATTTTATTACTTGTTCTCCATAGGTTGATATTACTGAATTGATTCTGATAGCAAATTTATGCAGCTGCTTTAGGTATCATAATTTAAGAAAATCTCTTCAGTCATAACAGTTTTGATTTATATTTATTTTTTCATCTTATGTCTTTGATGTAGAAATTTTCACGATTCCTTTTTTTTTTTTCCTTTGTGTGCTATATAATTTTCTTTGTTGCTCATCCATCTGGTATCTTTTATTCTTCAGTAATTTGATTTAATATCTTTTCTGGGTATTTGTTTAATAATTATTTTCGTTTTTCTTAAAGAAATTTGGTTATACTTCTTATTTTTGTTGTTTTTTAATTAAAAATGAATTCTTTTAAGAAGAGTTATTATAATTCCAAAAGAAGGATTATTCAAATCATTCTTTGTGTTGCTATATTTTTCTTGATTCATTTTACAGTTTCTCAGAAATAAAACAGAGTAAAAATACTGTTAAGGAATGAACAATAAGATTTTGATTTCAAAAACTTTAGTAAGCCAATAGAGAATCCAGACAAAACAATCAATTATGATTTGGATAGATTAATGGAAAAAGGTTTAAAATAACTCTGAACTCCTAACAAACTTTAATGTGTCAATTGGAATAATTTCAAATCATTAAAGAGTGATAGACAAAAGAAAACAAATAGTAAATAGGAACCATTTGAATTAAAGAAAGAACAAAAAATTATATATCTAATTGAAATTGATCTATTTTTGCTTTATCTTATCAATTATGATGAAAAATTATCATGAGTGTTTGGTAAATAAAGAAGTTTGATACATCATAGCTTCCTTCAAAATAACCAATAAAATGCACAAAAATATGTAGACAATTTTGGCATTCAGAGCTTCAAATAGCACCCAGGTTGGTGATCAGAAAGAGTGTTATTTTGCTACTTGATAGTACCTCCTTGTTTGGAAACAAAAAATAGTATAACTAAAGTTGAAGGTGGAAGCATTTATTACAGTTTTCTAACCTCTCTCTTTTGGATGAAGTTTTTTTTTCCATGTTGAAACCACAACCACTTCTATACAGAAATTCTTCAGGCAGGACCATCTAAAAAATCAATGCATTTGTTGGGTATTTAGATGAAGGATTCTTTAGGAAAAGAACTGGTAACTTGGAGCCAAGACAAAAGCTGAGAGGGAATGTTTTGATAATTTGTTAAGCTTATTTGTTTAAATAAATCAGTAATTTCATATTGGATATATTGGAACTTTGAAAATGAACAAAAATCATGTTTATCATTAGAAGGACTTTCAGAAATTGATGAAATAATTTCAAACATATTTCAAATCAGAGTATTTCTTTTACAAGCATTTATAGTGTATAATATTATATTAACTTTTACATTACTAATGTTTTAGACATTACTGTTTTGCTCTTGCTTATTAGATGTTTATATCAGTTTCACTAATCTCATCGTTGAAATGTGATTAGTGTTTGTTTACCTTGTATTTTCACAATTTTTGTCAAAAGCAATAATTCTTCATTAAATTGATTTATGTAAAAAAGATTTATATATGAAACAATTTATCAAATATATAATACTTTTTCATTTTCTGATACAATTGTATTTTCATACACAAATTTGCAACCAGATTTTACTAAAGACAAATACTGGAAATTCATTCCTATAATTTATAAAGACTGATTATTTGTAAAATTATATTACATGAAAGATTTTTCTAAGATTGAAAGATGGCACTATCAAGTACATTTTCTTTGATGCTTAGAATTTTCTGAGACAAAAAAAAAGTGGGGTTAGGAGATAATGTATGTTTTTTAGTGTTTTGGATTAACTAGTGCAGGTTTATTTTGGTGGCTGGGGGAGGGGATGGCAGTTATTAGTGTGGTTATCTTTTATTTCTTCTTTTATGTTGAGCATGTACATTGCTTTGCAACTGATAGTGACATATCTGCTTGGTGCTGTGCATGCATATATATATATATATATAGGAAATGTGGCTGCATGCTTACTCTGGATGCTTCTCAACTTTCTGTTAGTTCTTCTTTCACAACTCTTAACGTTTGTCCTTTTATTTTTGGTATTTTAAGAGAGCTCCTACAGACTCAGATGATGAAGCCTCATACCAGGTACGTAGTACTAGTTTCTGAATATAACACCATTTTCAAGGATCCTTTTATTTTCGATTAAGGAAGAATATTTTCCTCTTTTTTTGGTTTATACTAATTTTTATTGAACACTTCATTTTCTTTTAGAAACTACTACTGATTTTTACAAAATAAGTAAACTTCAAGTATATTTCTAGATTTTTTTTTATAAACTCTAATGATTTCTTGTGGGTGGCTCCCATTAATATTTCAGCTATTCTAGTGCAGCTATTAATCTTGTTTTTCTCAGACGATATCAACCAATGATGAAGAGTTCATTATTACCCAACTATAATCAGCTTGTCAGTGTATTAAAACATCAGAAAATTGCTGTTGTTTTCATATTGTTGCTTGAATCAAATGCATTTAATCTCTTTATAATTTTTGTAATTCTTAACTTCTGATCTCTTGTCTCATTTATACTTTCTTACAGGGAATAACATTTGAACTTGTTCCTGATTTTGTTCTCTAAATCTTATAATTATTTAAAATACTTTTCCTATGAATAATTATCTGCTATCTAATTATTTAAATCATTTTCCAATTACTTTTATTCTGAAAACTAATATTACTTCATATAACATTGCCTACATATAATTTACAAATTAATTCTACTGGAAAAATCATTTTTTTTAAGTTGGCAGTTATGTTTATATGTCTTGAATTATGTTTTCAATTTACTAGCAGTACTCATGATAATTTCACAGTTTTCCTATTTTAATTTCCTGGTGAATCTTAATTCTTAATTTAATAATTGTATAAGCTTTTTGCATGTTCTACAGTTATTGCATTGTTAAAGATTTGAAATTAATAGCTTTAACAAAATATTACAATAAGAATCAGTCATTATTTAAAGAAGTAAGAGGGTACAAGTGAAAATATTAAAAATTGACAAAGTTTTCCATTTCACTGAAGCCAATGTTAAATGCATGAGAGCATTATCACTTCTTCTATCTCCCCTTTCTTTATTTCTTCTTATTACGTATGCTTTCTTTTTCTCACTAAAACCAAACAGTGTCTCTGATATAACTTTTTCTTCTGTCTTCCCTTGCAATCAAAACTGAATGGGTCATTATTTATCTGAGGTAATGGTAGGGTATAATGCATGTTCTAACTTACTAACAGAGGAGTCAGCAGAATTAAAATAAAATTTTAAATAAGATTTGTTAGCTCAAATAGATTACATATGGTGTAAATTCCTGTCTGGAATTATTCCTGTCTGGAATTATTCTACTTTCAAAATATACTGTCAGAGATTATTTAAAATTGGAAAATATTAATTTCATTAATATACAAGTTCAAAAAAACATTATCAGATATTTTAAAAGTTATTTCTTTTTAATAGGGAGTAGATTACTTAATGTTCATATATTGTGATCTTACAATTACATTTTTGCCTTAAAATAAATAAGATTCAAATGAACTCAAATAGATCATATAGTGTGTGATTTGTAGATGATGCAATGAAAATCATCTTACTGGATGTGAAACCTAACAACCTCATGAACATCACTTCATACTTTCATTGGGTTTTAGTTTTGGAATATGCCATAAGTTATTACTTACAAGAATTTGTGAATCTTGGAAGTTAGTATTTTCTTTTGAATCAATACTGATACAAGAATATCTAATGCCTATTGCTTCTGAACTTCAAATGTATACTTTTTATTTAAGTTCATGTGTTAGCTCATTTGCATAATGAAGCTGTCAAAAATAGACATCACCATTTTGAGTTTAGCTTAACAGCTGAGATTGTGACTGGTATATACATTACTAAACCTTGCAACTACTAAATCAGTATTGAATATCATTAATGATCAGGTATTGTGAAATCATCCAAAAATTATGGAGGATACAGCTAACTTCTAACTCAAGGTGAATATCATCAGTTATGTGCCTTATGTGATACATGTTTAGGCAATCATGTATCTTTCAGTACATGATTGACGAGACAGATTTTTTCCTGCAGTAGGTTGCCATTTCTTTCTGTGGTAGACCAGTTGCCATCCAAGGCTATAGAACCTGGTCTGTCCTGCTATTTACCGATAGCTGGGGGAAGAAGAAGAGGATTCATACCTTTCCCAAGGGTATTAGCACGTAAGTGAATGTAATGGATTTGACATGAATTCAAACATGGCTCTCCGATTCCTCAGTCCGAGCCACTATCCATTACTCCATTGTGGCGAATACCATAGCTAGCCATTTTATGTATTTATTTTTGTATAACAGAAATGTAGAGTTTAAGCAAATGCTTAAACTTCCTAAAAGTTTTATTCACTGTGGAGATAAAATAACTTCTTCAAATCTTAAAAACCTAATTTATTAATGTTTCGAATGATATTTTCAAAGTTTCAAAGAAACTTACTCACTTTATAGTAAAATTTAATTTTAAACAGAAAACTATATTATTTCAGCAAACAGATGAACTTTATTAAACTTGTTAATGTATAAATACTCTTCAATTTTGTGAAAATTCAAAATTCTTTTTCACAAAAAAAAGAAATTTTCAGTTTGTATTTTCATTTAGTAGTATCTTGTACTCTTATGCATCTTCTGAATCTCATCAACATATTGGGATATGCTTGCTCTTATCTGCTTCTATCACTGCTAGATGGTGAAGATTTATCTAGTATAAAAAAGAACAATGGAGAATGGTGAGATTTTGTTATTGAATACACAGATATTGTTTAATTCTGTCACTCATTAATTATGCTTGAAATTTCCTGTTTTAGAAATAACTAAAAATACAGAACCTTGGAAAGAAATAGTTACATACACACTACACACACATATACACATACAGTGCTGAAAAGTTATTATCTTAATCAAGAGGGGATTCAAAAAACATTCTTATGTTTGGTCACTTGGTAAGATTTTTGGAAGTGGGTTGAATTTTTAACACTCTCCTCCTCATTACAGAGAAAGAGAGAGGGAGAAATATTATCAGAACATCAAAGAAGCAGATACTACTATTAAATTTTACTAAAAAAACAAGTGTTTTCCTTTAAATTATTTAAATGATTTTTGTATATTTCAAGTATAAAAAATATTACTTAAAAAAATTGAATAATTCTGTTGATTGATTCTCTTCATCTAGTGCAATAAAATGCATCATTAACTGAAATTGACAATCAAATGTAAAAGTGGAGCCTCATTATTTTATTTAATCTACAAATATATTTTCCTATAAAATTGATTAAATATGAATTTGATCCCAAATAATCAATGTTGAAAGAAACAAAAACATTGAATCTAAATTACTTTTATTTCATATATATTTTTTTAATTATTTTTTTTAAAATCATTTTTAAATATTTTTTAATTATGCTTTTATTTATGTCAACAGTGTGAAAGTATAAAATAAGAAATCCAAAACTTTTAAATCTGAAAAACTGAGATTATTTTTTGAAATTATTTACATGAATCATGTTACTATTATTACTTTGTAATAAAAGGATCCCAATCAATAAAAAATTTACATAGATATTTGAAATACAATAGAACAAATTTATCCTATGCTCAGTTATTAGTGCCAACTCAGTGGAGAAACAATGCATGAGTATTTAGGTAATACTCATCTTCTGACTATTGCTAATTTTACAACCTCTCAGATTTTATCAAAACACTCATGCAGTGGTTAAAAGGATCTTCATGAAAAACAAGCTACCAGGATTTAGGATGCAAATTCAAATCATGTTAGAAGCTACTTCTTTATTTCTTATTTTCAAATAATTTATCAATATAGATTGCAAATAAAATAAAGATTCATAACTTCCTCCTGTTATTATTATAATTAACTTGAAAAATATTTCTTATTTACTTTCACAACCAGAAATTCTAGGTATTTTTCTTACATTGTGTGGTGAATAACAGGGATCACAATTAGTTTTCAAAGAAAGTTATTTTTTGAAATAGAACTTTAAAAAATAATATAATGAATTTAATGATAAGTATAACCTTTGATTGCATTTTTAACATTTTCCTCAGAAAAAATATTTTTATAGATTTTGTAAACAGTTACTAAACTATCTGAAAGCACTATTAGATCTATAGCTTTTTTAGTTTTTAATTTTGTTCTGGTTGAAGTGTGTATGTGAGAGAGGGAAAGTTATAGAGAAATATGAAGTATAATACAATGCAAATTTAAGAGGTTTTGACACTCTACAAGCCACAATAAAAAATTTGAGATTTTTGCCACTCCTCAACAATCACTCTGCTTTGATCTTTTGTCTAGTGTATATTTATTGAGTAGTTAAATAGAATGTTCAGTTTTATTTAAGCAGCTTACCAGTTGAAATAATGGCAATAGTGACAGTAATGTTTATAAGTGGATTTTTCTTCCTTAGTTCCATTGAATGAAAAAAGGAAAAATAATGAGGTGGTGTTCTATTGTCATGCCACAATATTTTTTTTACAATCAGGTACAAAATCTGTTGAATTGCAAGTTTTTGCTGCAAATTAATTGAAGAGGTACATGATAGTGTGACTGGTTTTCTAAAAGGAAACAGTAATGGATTTTATATCCCCAGTGTCTCTTGAATGGAACCATACATCCATGGCTATCCCTGAACCTCCTGACCAAGGAGACCTGATTGGGGAGCTCAGGCTGTGCTTTGTGACTCTCAATATCTTATCATTTACTTTTTTTCTAACTACATTTATATATATTACAAATTAAACTAAGCACAACTGAATGAATAATTTTCACACATTTTGATGTCATTCTGGGGTCCTTTTTTTTTGCCTAAATCTGTGAATTTGTTTTGTTCAATGCTAAGTCCTGAAAAAACACTCTATATAAAATTCACTATTTTTTATCCATAATATATTTTTCTTTTTTTTTTTTGAAATATTTGTTCTGATAAGAAATATTATTCAAAAAATTTTAATGTGTATAAAATAATTTCTCATATACAGAAAATATTGCATTTTCCCAGCAATACTTGGGCTATAACTACTTGGGATAGTAGTCCAAGTAACATTAGTTTTGTCATTAACTTTTTATTTTAATTCTCATATTATCAATGCAATAGATAAAAAAAATTACTGGACATCCCAATTTTTATTCTCATGAAGCAAGTATTTTAAAGTTCTTTTTAGCCATTAGATAGCCAAAGGATGTCAAATTATAGAAAGTGACCTTGACATCCAATGTCTATTAAAATAACAATACTTTTTTTTTCCCAAAGAAAGAATAAAGCTTCTCAACTCTGGAAGTAACCACATGCATGAATTTTCTCTTCTCTTTGATAGCTCATCATGTCCCGTCATTACATTGAAAAGAAATATAGCAATTCATTCAAAATTAAGAAAAGTGTTGCAAAAAACACTTGTCTTTTCACTGCTGTTTTAAATAACTAAAATACAGTGTTTGCCTTTAATCATATTTCAATTTACCAGGGTAATGATTCTGAAATCAACATTTTATAAGTAGAAATGTAAAAATGCATTCAAGGGTTAAAATTTAAATAAACAAAAAATTAAACATGGTTTGACATATTCAACTCGGGTTTCAGGAGGGTACAAACACTAGACCAGAAGTTGGAAGGAAATGAGAAGTTATGTTGATAGCTGATAAGTAAGATTAATATATTTTCAAGTACAGATATCAGTGTGAAGTGCCTTTTTGGCCAGAATGGGATTGGTGTGCTGATAGGTGGAAGTTCGATAGGATTTTTTTATGAACTCCACCTGGTTGGTCACTGGTTTGTTTAAAAAGAGTTTTAGTACAAGGTTTGAAAAATGCTAAGGGTGAAATTAATTTGTTGTCTGCCATTTCTACAATTATCATTATTTTGGATTTTTGATGAGGAATCCCGCACCAATAAGAAAGCCATCTAATTGATTTAAGGGAATATGGAGATAATGAAATGAGCATTGTAAATTATCATTTTCTAAAGCCTGGATAGGTAAAATGAAGTCATTAATCATTATCAGGAAAAATTTGCCATATAAGCAAGTGTGCATTTTGTTTGGTAGTCATTTTCCATGAGGAAAGTGCTCGAACCTGGTCTGTTCGAGCACTCCAGCATTTCACCAAACACACAGACACAGTGTATAGCAATAGAACCCTCAAATGTAGAAGTTAAATTCTGTAGACTTATTTTTTCTCTTCACATTAAATTTTGTTAATTTTACAGAACAGTTTGTTTATCAAAGAACTTTTCTTCCCCTCAAACAATAACCAGCAACCAGATTCAAAGGCTTACCACACTCTGCAGGAGATCAATTTTACTGATTTTCTTCAGGATACAAAGGATTTGGGTCCAACTACTGATGATCACCATCAACAGACAGGTGAAACAGAGGAAGGCTTAATCTCTGTCCCACTTCACTTGAACAGAAAAACCTATTGGCTTTGTTGGCAATTGTTCCTGGGCATGATGTAGTTGGCTGATACTGACGAATTACCCAAACCAACCAGTTGTAATTGAGTATTGTGTATATATGGTGCCATGTCACCAGGATAAGACATGTCAAGTTGATCCAGGATGCAATCGAGGACATCAGGAAAAGGAAGACAGTCTGTTATAATAATCTAATCATGGTTCTATTTAGATGACCATATTTTGATAACAAAAATTAAGCAGCAGCTAAAACTGGAACTAGGCTTTAATAATGTATATGCAATTGTAGTATATTAACTACAGAGTATAAAGCAGTACATTAAATATCATTTTTTTTATGTTGATTGATGTTCTATAATAAAATTGAATGTGTGTGTGTGTGTCTGTTCATGGGTTTTACAGTTTCAAATCAGACTGAAATAATAACTGATCTTAAAATCTAGTTTTATTTTTCTTTTGTTATTTTTATCTATTTGTTTTGTATTTTAATAAAATTTATCATTGCTAATTTGTTTGAACAAATTATCAACCAGTCAATATATTTTCTGATTATCATGCCACTGTCACATTGTACTTTTGATTTACTTTCTACATTACTTTCAGTTATTCTTACAAAATATTTTTCTAGAATATTCCATTGCATGAAAATGTTTATTTTTAATTTCAATATTGTTTTTCGTTGTATTCAATTTTAATCACATTTTTACTTAAGTAGAGTCCCTACCTAATTTATTTGGAACATTTTTTCTTTTTCTTTCAGCATTTGACAACTGAGATAAAAGGAAAAGAACAAAGCAAGGTAGGATTCTGCTGTCATTTCACTTTAAAAAATAGTAGTACATAGAATATTTTTTCTTAATAAGTTGACACCAGCTTTCATTATACTTTAGGGATACATTTTTAAAAATTTGCTTAAAACCTTTTTTAACTGTCAAAATAAAGTATAATCATTTTATTTTTTAAACAATTTACTTAAAACTTCTCTAGATCTCAAATCAAATTAGAATGACTTAGAATTTAATTAGAACTTAATAATTTAAATAAATAATAATTAAATAAAAATATTAGAAGTCATGTCTGATTTAAATGTTTTCTTTTCACTAATGTAATCTATTTTTCTTAAGTGACATTATTTAACAAAACTTATTTTATATGTACAGAAATTATTAAAGAAATAATGTTAAAATAACCATTCCAATAAACTTTTTAAAGTTTATATTAAAACAGGAGTATCTAATAAATTGGTACCCAACTTTAATGATATTAAATATTGAGTTGAACCATTTTTTTTAATCTATAAACATTTGATTCTGGGTGAAGTGTTACTGTAGAAATGTTTTTTGTGGTAACGGAAATTCTTCTCATAGACATTATTCCTCCTGGTTTTATTTTAATGCTACTCTGGTGAGAACACATCTAAATTTGTGCTCAAGTAAGGCTTAATAAATATCTATATTAACATTGTTAGCCTTCATTTATTGCTGAAAGCTTCCTTTTTAAAAAAAAATAGTGTGGTTCACCTTTTACAATACTTTGGTGCCACTCAAGGCAGAGGGTTATGTCTGGGGGGACATTTGTGTGTATAGGAGTGGAAAATAATGGGAGTTGGGAGTTGGTTCCACAGGGCGGTGGTTTGCAGGTAGAATCTTGCTTCTCACCGATGAAATAGAGAGTGAATGTGGGTCAATTGCTACTATGTAAGTGGCATGGCATGTTCTTGCTGTGAAAGTTTACTTTGGTGGGACCAAGGAATATAATTTGTCTGAGCACTTTCTATGGAAGTAGCAGTAGAGCAGTGAGAGGCTTACTGCATCCCACCTGTGGGAAAGAAGTTGAATGGTGGAGAATAATTCATTATCCACAAGGGCTCAGAGACACTTTTGAACCTGCCCAAATATGACAATATTACTCAATTTTTGACCTGATCTGGATCTTGTAAAATTAGATGATAGCTGGAGGAGTCAGGTACTTACTAGAGTGTTACAAAGAGCTGACCATTTTACCTGCATCCTTAGCAATGGATTGTATGTACAAGTTCCACTTCAGGTCGGGTGTGAGTTTGAGGCCCAATAGTCATCTTTCAAGGCACAGTGCTTCCCTGTTCATCCTGATTGGTGGTAGTTCAGGAATGATGGAATATAACTAGTTTGGTCTTAAAGGCATTGAATGTAACCAGCCATTTCTTTAGCTCATTGGGTATTTTGTGCAAGATCAGAAGAGAGTTCAGTCACCAAAACTCTGCTTACGTTTGGCACTTTACACAGGCTTGGTAACGACTTCTCCTTCAAGCAGCAGAACATGAGCACTGGTAAATAATGGTTGCTGAAGACATTAGGTTTATAATACCCAGAAATTCATACAGAAAGGTCCTCATAGGACACATAGCACAGTGGATAAAGGCATTAGTTAGATCCAGTGACAGGACCCAAAGAGTGTGAGTTCAATACCTGGTTAAGGTGGTGGAGAACTTGGAGAGGGGGATTAACAGGAGATAACTGATAACTCATATCCATTAGAACTAAAACAGTCTACCCCAGTGAGCGAAATAAAGTGTTCAGTTTGACATTTCAACCACCTGAAGAAGGCCGGAGCGTACAATGGCTGAAACGTTGTGATAAATATGCCAACAAAGATGAGGATGATAGTCCGAACAATGTAAATAGTGAACTTATGATTTAACACTCAATAGCAAAAAACAAATTTTATTTTCTTGATATTTTAAAGGAAATAAAGCTAATAAATTTAAAATAATGTTTCTTAGCAATGTTTGTTGCTTTTGGCTGGCAGTAATCCAATGAAGTGCATGTGAAGTAACTTATGAAATCAAAAATTGGTTTTTGAACCCACTCTGACCCTGCAATAATGTAAAGAAACTGACAATCATTTATAAATTTAAATTCAATTTTTGCTGAAAGTAAAAACTTTACATTGAGGGAATGTTATGATTTATGAGAGTACTCTTTTAATAGAATCCAAATTTTTCCTTTATAAATAAGAAATATGCATGATTATGTAATAGACTTGGAAGATCTCTACAAAAGGGAAAAAAATTTAGTATGCTTTTCTTTTTCCCTGGTCTAATTTTTTAGTGTGTCCAATTTTCATTTGTAATTAAAACTCAACAAAATTGTTTTATTTTTTGTAACACATTACCACTGGAGCAGAAATTTTGATTGTCATATCATTTTGATAACAAGTGGTGCGAATTTGGATCAGAGATCAGCAAGAAACCATGTTGTAAATATACTGTTGTATTGTTTAACAAGTATGATTCCATCCCTGGATTATAGTAAAGTATAAAATATAAGTTTACTTAGGAAGATTTTTAGTGAAAGAAGGAAAATTTTCCATTATATTAGATATTAGTCTATGTGATTGGTTCTTGGTGATGTGTCAATACTGTATGTATTTCCATTCTCCAGCCAGACCAGCAGTAGGAAATTAATTCTCTTAATGTGTTAGTTTTTTGAATATATATGACAAAAATTCCATTAGAGAGAATTTATTCATAAAAATCACTTAATATCAACTGCAGGAAAACAAAACCTGAAGACTGAGGCTAAGTAAATATACAATGACAGATAGAAGATCATCTGGTTTTCTTGAGCTATAGTTTTTTTAGCAGGGAAGGAGGGGGACAAAAGCTGAAGCAGACAATGATTCATTGTATCCCATCATGGTAGTTTGTCCTAATTTGGCATCTTGTGAGGGAGGATGTCATGTTGACATATGTATGCCTGTATTTAAATCAGAATATTATTAAGTGAGCAACAGCACTTCCTCAGAAAATTTTCTAAAAAAAAAAAAAAAAAAAAAAAAATTCTATTATAGTGGGAAAAAAAAAATCAAATATCAGCATTTATATTATTATGAAACACTTCAAAATTTGAAGTAATGTGTGAGAAGACAAATTGTTTGATTGATTGATAACAAGTACATGAATTTAGATTAGAGATTGTTTATTTTATTGTTTTAGCAATTTTAAAATTGTATTTAAGATCATACAGTTGTCAAAACTATACAAAAATAAGTTATGCTGAAAAGTGTTAAATGTGTAATTTGGTCAAAATTGGAGAACCAAACATTTTTTTTTTCATACTTTAATTGAAATTACAGTTAAGCAGACTAAATGAACAGTTAAATGATTTTGTTATTTAATTGCATGTAAACAGACAGACATAGTAAATCAATATATTCATGAGGTTAATTGAAATTAAAACAATTTAAAATTAGGATATTATTCTTTCTTTTTTCTTCCAGCCATTTGTTGCAAAAGTGTTACAACCCAATCAAGATGATGTGAGTCAAGATGGTGCACCTGGTTGCACAAGTACATATGGTGCCCTTGCCTCCACCAACAATGCTGCTCTTCTTGAAGACTGAAAGTGGATGCAAATTTCAATTCCATTTTATTTATTATAGATCTTTCTAAAAAAGGAAAAAAAAAAACAAAAAAAAAAAACAGTACATTTAAATAAGATACATTTATGCCTTGGTTTTAAATATATTAAAACCTAACCTATTTTTGATGTACAAGATTCTTCTGAGCATAAAATAGGAAAATTTTGTTTCCCACCATTCACTGTTGATAAGCAATAAAATTGTTCAAAGAAATTAAATCTGCAATATCCTATCCTGCTATTTTTTCTTCTTAGTTTTCTAATTTTACTCTGTATTCCTTTCTCTTGCCTTGCCTTCTAAATAATGTTAAAGCTTTTGATCCAGAAAATATAGCATTCCTTGGTTATGTGTAGTTGGCTTTGTATTTAGTAGTCAGGCTCGTGAAATCAGAAGCTAGTTTTCATTTCTACTCTTTACCATATGAAGATACTGAACTAGGTGTGGGCAAAGTTCTTATTTAAAATTTGTAATCTTTTTTTCCCTCAAAACAAAAACTGCGTATTTACTTTTTCACTACATGGTTTCCTTTTGCCTTATAACATAAATGAAATTTATATTACCAAAAGTTGATTTCAAAATGTAAAGGTTAATGTTACTTTGTAAGTATTGACCTTTTAAAACTGATTATCTAAAATGATAATTTCAAATTTTTCCTATGATAAAATAAATTTATTTTTAAAGAAACATTAACAAAAATTAATTCATTTTGAATTATAGTTGCATTTTGCTGATTTGAGTTCTGACAAATGCACACTTACACTGAGCTTAGGTGAAAAATAAATTTAAAAAATAGAAGGCATATTTTTCAATTGGAATTAAATTTAGCAGCTGTTTCCTTGGTAAATGATAGCAAGATGCTGGCACAATATCTGCCCAAATATTACAAAAGAATGGTAAACAGCTTCCTTTACATGAAGTTTATTTTATTCATCTTGCGATAGATTAATAAATTTGAATCAATCTATGCTCTTATTGTGTGCATATTTTTTGACTGAAGCTTACAGCAAAATATGCAGTATATTTACTTAGTAAAACAGTATTACTAAAAATTATTCTTTGCTGACTTCTTGAAGATGCAAAGAAAAGGATATTGTGCAAGTAACGTGTTATATTGGACAGAATTTGCATTCAGTAGGGACCAATTTCAATATGAACTAGATTGATTTTACTGAACTGGATTTAATTATAAATCTATATATGAAATGCCTCTGCATATAAAATAGATAATGTTTTGGTGCCTATTACAATTCTGTGTACATAAAAAAAAAAATAACCTGCTGAAGCTAACTTTGCATTTCTGCTACATTCCTAGCAGCCATAAACAGATTGCCATAATACATTTAAAAAAAAAATATTTGAATTCTTCCATATGACAGACCAGCTAAATAAACTATAAATCAATATAAAAAGAGCAAATTAAATTTTATAAGCACTTATGAAGTACATTATTAATAAAATTTTAAATGTAAATTTTTATCAAGAGAAGCTGCAATATCAGAGCTTTTGTGATATTATTTTTTGTATTGACTATACAAAAAATATCACAATCAAATTGAATTGACACATTTTCAAATGTTATTTTTGGCTTCTATTCTATTTTTACCTGAATATTTTTAAATAAAAGTAAATATCTGTTTGCACTTAATTAAAAGAAAAGATTGTGTGTGTATATAACACACAAATGAGGATGCAAAAATGTTCTTGACCTGACCCACTTCTTTAAAATAGTATTGTAATAACTATACATCAGAATACTGATTTTGGGAGTGGATCCTGCTATGAACTTTTCAGCACCTCCTTGAATGTGTTATTTAATGACATTTTTATGCTTTTGGCATAAAATTTTCCTGGTGTGACATGTGAACAAATTTTGTATTAGTTGAGTAACTAAAATCAGGTATTGATAAAACAAAAATTAAAATGAATAAGGAACTGAATTTTAACATATTTGAATATAAAATCAATTGTGATATATATTAAGATCATTGATAGTTTCTGTAACAAATGTCTTCGGAATGTATAAAATATTTTCATTATTCTTCTAAGTATTACCAAACTTTTTATTTATTTTTTAAACATTCTAAATCTGTATATTCGTTAGCCTTTCTCAGGTGTCTTGATAGAAGCAAACTATAATATTCCTATCTTGTTCTCAAGTTAAGGCTAATATCAGATCTTAGTACCAAATCCTCTAACTTTGTTAGATTGAGAAGTTTCTAATTGATTGACTTATAAATCTGCTGAAACATTGTATCAAAGGTAATAATCCCAAGAGGAATAAATGGATTAACGAATTTATTCAATTGTCTATTTTTAATGTAAGCATAAACCAATTATGGCATAAAATATAGTATTTCTAAATTTTTAACTTCATAAAAATTGTATTATTTCAATTCATATCGCAGCAATTTAAATATTTCTACACATACAAATTTTGTACAAAATGGCTTCATAGTTTTTCAGTCAACCTACAGATTATATTTTAGTGATGTTACTGACTTCAAATCCATCAATTGCATAATGTAGAGGCTAGAAACTCATCGGCCCAATACCAACTTCACAGTATCAAGCTATTTTCTTTGGAGTAATTTGAAGAGTTTCTTGCAAACTCTAAATACTGTGTCGTAAGTAGCTTTACTCCTATGGAGATTTATTAAACACCCTGGGCTACATATGAATGGTCCTTTAGCAAATGTCAGTAGATATCTTAGTGAAAAGCCTTTGCATCAAAGATTACAAAAGCAATAGATTTCCCTCCATTTCAGGTGATGGGTCAAAAATCTGCTTTAACAATTAGAACAGTTAAGCAGATTCTTAGGATTTATTAACTATTTTCCTTTCTTATAGAACAGGTCAACAAATAATTTATAAGTAAATCAACTCTCATTATTCTTCTTATTTTTTCTTCATGTTTTAAGTGCCATAACTAACTAAATGAAAAACTGTTTACAAAATTAGACAAATAATTGTTGCTATTTTTCTGTTGATTTTTGGGCTTCACCAGTATTTGCTTCAAGTCAATTTGCATGGTTTTCTGAAATAAAAACATTCTCAAATCATTTGCATTTGTCTCTTTGCTTTGTGGTAAGCAAACTTAACTTCAGAGAATTATCTTTAAATGATATATAACTGAATTCATTATCAGAGATATAGAAAATAAATGTTAACAAAAAGGTCTGACATAAATTATGAGAGGGAGCTTGAAAAACTCCAGAAAGAGGAAAGGTGGTCTAAAAGTGCTATATTTGGATTCTATAAGCCAAGGATCTATGCCTCATCAAGGTAACTTAAAGGCTTGGTGTCTAGATATCAGTCTAGACTGCCATGCATGCTAATCTAATGATTCTGCTGAAGAAATATTAAACACTTTTTGTGTTGAAAAGATTGCTCTTCATTGTAATAGTAAAATATATCCCCAAATGTTTACAATACAGATATGCAGAAACATTATTCTTTAGATATTGTTCTAGTACTTACAAGAGTTTTTATAGTAGCAATACAATGCATTTTGGGTAAAATATACTATCCTTTAAGTTAGAAGATAAAGACAAAGTAATTGGTAGAGAAATTTATTAAATCATATCAATGTCTAAAATTCAGCTTACTATATCACGTCATAACATACAACTGAAGGCCATCCAACAAATTCAAGCATATTTTAGTTTATTTAGTATACAGTACATAACAGGATTTATACAGAAAAGTAAACTTTTTTTTCTCGGCTCACTTTAAGACTATCTAATGATCATTTGTGATAATATTTAGTTTAAATACTTAAATTTTACCAAATAGTTCAAATTAAAATATTTAACAAATATACATTTTTAAGCAGCTGGTTTCCAATCTTTTGGAAAGCTTATAAATTAGCCCTTTATGATAATCTTCCACCCTTTGGCATTACAGCTTGATAGAATCATCAGATTTTCTTCTAGTACTTATGAGTGAAATATTCCATTTCCTCAGTTTGAACAAATTCTGTTCAGATTTATAAGCTATTTGGATAACCCACCACATAAGTGCAAGGCAAAGACAGTTCCTTGTGAATTTGGCTTTATCAAATCTCAGCATAATTTCAGACAAATTTTTTACCAAGTGCCCATAGCTTGTATTCTTAATACAATACCATTTATCCACTTTATGAAAAGTGCTACTTGTAATAGTCAATCCAGTTGATCCTATCACTTCATGCCAAGTCACTCAAACTTCAGTTTTTACTTGATTTTATTATTGTCAAGAAACAATTTTATTAAAATTACATGTTTTTGCTTACTGATTTGAAATTTTCATTTGGTACGAGGTCAAAAAAAATTTATAAAAATTAAAAACCTTTGCATGAAATGGTGAAAAATGATAAGAACAAGCCAACAGTTTTCTTAGCTGTTTCAAATCCTCCTAAAAACACCAAGGTCTCAACTAAATTTGATGTATGACCTACACACTAAAATAAAAATGAACAAACAATTCAAGCATATTTTAAGAGTTTATTTAGTAAACAGTACAGGATTATACATAAAAATAAACATTTTTTTTTTTTTTAAAGATCCTTCTCAGCTCCCTTTAAGACTATCTAATGGTCATTTATGATAATATTTACAGTTTGAAAATAAACATGTTTAAAAGTATATTGAGGTAAAATTTATGAGACAATGAATAAAAATAGCATGAAAGTGAATACTTTAGAACTTCAGTTTGTACTTACATCATATTCTTCAACTCCTAAAAGCAGTTCAGGTTATTAGATTAATACAGATTAGAGTTAAGGTTTCAATGTTTAATTTGAGTAGGATTGCACACCCCCCACTACTTTTTTGGCAATTTTTACTTATCACTGGGGGTGTAGAAGTGATGAATTCCTGCCTTTGCAAGGGACACAAATGCTATGCAAACACTGTCTCAGTTGGAATCAGCTTATCAATTCCATTTATTAGGCCACTCACACCTTCCAATTTTTATTAAATGAGAGAAATGCAAATTGTTAATCA